TCCTGGTACCCCAGATTTGGGCCCTTCTGCTTACTTACTTCTTCTTGTCCTTCCTTACTAGTAACAATACAGAGGTCAGCAGCTCAGATCATTAATGGAAAACTTGACTTCATCTGATGCCTTCAATGAAGGAAACAGCTGAGTGTCTTTTGTGTTGAATGTGGAGGTCAAAAATTAGATTAGTTGATTTACATGGACTTCACTAAAATTGAGTCAATTTTACATTTCTTTGAGAACTTTAAAAATTAATTAAATTTTTATTTAGAGGTTTTTGCTATAGGGCGTGTGTGCTCATCAGAAAGACAGAGAGAGACAGAGAGATAGAAAGCGAGAAATCACCCCCCAGGGGGGATGGCCACGCCGCAGTCCCTTCTCCTCCATTTTCCTCTCGGGACCTTGGGCCCATGCGCCCGGTGTGAGTTTAAGCCACCTGGTCCAGGACTTGAACTGCGGTTGACTAGTTGGGAGTTCAGCAACATAGCCATTATGCTACTGCTGGTCCCAATTTTATGTTATTTAAAAATTAGTTAGATGATATGTATGTTTACTGGATCAAGAGAGAGAGAAGGTAAGTGAGAAAGTACCCTCCCTCCCATGAGGGAATGATCACACCTCAGTCTCTTCTCCATTACACCTTTTGGGATTTGGGGCATGCATGCACACTTGCCTAGTGTGTTTTTCAGGTGACTTAGTTCAGGACTCAAACTGCGCAGCCAACCACGTGGGAACCACTACACCACCGTCTGGCCCCATTTTACATCCTTTAGGACCTTGGTGGACCCTGGCTGAGAATTATTTTTAAAATTCCTTAAAGATCTCATTATCAACAGATTTTATGGCTTTAATGAAATGTGATTAATAACATATAATACTGTGTATTATTTTTAACACTTTGATTTTACAAGAACTTTTATAGCATATCCCGTTTTATAATAGTATGTATTTAAGTATGTCTGAGCTGTTAATTAATTAGTGGACAAGAAACACCTCAAGGATCATTTAATCAAAAAGGTTGAGGGACCAGCAGGGGGCATAGTGGTTAAGGTGCTGAACTCCCACGTGGTCAACCATGGCTTGAGTCCTGGACCGATGGCTTGAGACTCACACTGGGCATGTATGCATGCTTAAGATCCCAAGAGGAAAAGGGATTGTGGTGTGACCATCCTCCCTGGAGGGTGATTTCTCATTTTCTGTCCCTCTCTGTTTCTCTGGTGAGTGCATGTACACTGTAGCAAAATTTCTGTTAAAAAATTTGGTACAAGTGTTGACTAAGTTTTGGAACTAGTTTAGTTTTTACTCATTTTTTAAGAAATTGTGGTAACATGTACTTAACAGAAAACTTACCATTTTAGCCATTTTTCCTTTCTCCCTTTTTTTTTTTTGTTTTGTTTTGTTTGTTTTAACAGAGGATTTTGCTATCGGGTGTGTGTATTCCCAGAGAGACAGAAAGAGACAGAAAGTGAGAAAGAAAGTGAGAAGTTACCCCTGGGTATGGTGGCCATGCCACAATCCCTTCTCCTCTAGTCTTCTCTTGGGATTTTGGGCATGTACGCACATGTGCCCAGCATGAGTTTTAAGCCGTCAGGTCTAGGACTTGAACCACAATCAACTACATGCAAGTCCAGCAACATAACCATTGCACCATCGCGGGTCCCATCTTAGCCATTTTTAAGTGTACAGTCCAGTGGTATTAAATACATTTAAATAATATTATGTAACCATGACTACTATCCATCTCTATAACTCTTTTCACCTCATAAAACTGAAACTCTGACCCTGTTAAACAAATAACTACTCATTCGCCCATCTTCTCAACCCCTGGCGAGCACCATTTTACTTTCTGACTTTTATGAATTTGATTACTCTGGATCGCTCATATAATTGGGAACGTACAGTCTTTGTCCTTTTGAGACTGGCTAATTTCACTTATCCTATGACCTTAAAGTTCATCTGTTCTGTAGCATCTGCCAAACTTTTCTTTCTTTTTAAGGCCAAATAATATTCTATCATCTGGAGAGACTTTTTTTTTTTTTGCCATAGGGTGCATGCGCTTGTTAGAGAGAGTCAGAGGGGAAATGAGAAATCACCCTCTGGAGGAGATGGCCATACCACAGTCCTTTCTCTCATTCTCCTCCTGGAATTTTGGGCCCACTTGAACACATGTCTAGCATGATTTTCAAGCTGTCTGGTCTGGGACTGGAATGGCGCTCAGCCATGTGGGAATCTTATCCTTAACCATCACACCACCTGTTGGCCCCTACACACGTCTTTTTGAGACTCTGCTTTCAATTCTTTTGGGTATGTACCCAAAATGTATTTTTTTTTTGGAGAGGTTTTTGCTATAGGGTGTGTACACTCGCCAGGCAGAGACAGAGAGACAGAAAACGAGAAATCAACCCCCCTCCCCCCCATTTGGCTGTGCCACAATCCCTTCTCCTCCATTCTCCTCTCAGGATCTTGGGCACGCTCGCACACGCGCCTGGTGTGAGTTTTAAGCCACCAGGTCCAGGATGCGAACTGTGGTCGACCACGTGGGAGTCCAGCGACATAGCCATTACGCTAACTGCTGGTCCCCTCAAAATGAAATTTTAATTTAAAAATTATACTAGTGTATTTTACTGTTATTGCATATGTTTTATTAAGAACATAGTAGGACCAGCAAATGGTTTAATGGTTACATTGCTGGACTCCCTCATAGTTGACTGCGGTATGAGTTCTGGACCTGGAGGCTTAAAACTCACACTGGGTGCATGTGCATATGTGCCTGAAATCGTGAGAGGAGAATGGATGATAAGGGATTGTGGCATTGCCATTCCCCCTGGGAGGTGATTTCTCACTTTCTGTCTCTCTGGTGAACACACACGCACTATACCAAAAATCTCTCTCGCTAAAAAAAAAAAAAAAAAAAAAAAAAAAAAGAACATGGTTATTTCTTTACTTACTACTTTTTAATTTTTAATATGTACCTCTACGTTTTAAGTTGTACACAGCTTTTCTAAAATAGAAATGAAATGCTGGAATGAGCAGCATTGAATTAGAAGACAGGAGTAGAGCGTGCTTTGAGATCTGACCATAGCAGTCCTAATGCCCCTGCTTATCCTGTCTTCTCCTCTCCTGTCAGCTGCAGCCTGATAGCATGACATGGTAGGTGGATATCCATGATTCAGCCTTCAGCTGTGGAGCTCTTTATTGACCTTTAGGGAAATAAACATTTTCCCTTGATTCTTCTCTAAATGGCATAGTTTTTTCTAGTTTATTAGTTGCTTTCCTATTCTTTATCTAATTATCAATTATGTGCTAAGCAAAGTTATTAAGTGCCTATTATCTTCTAGGGATTATTCTGAAAGCTAGAAATAACTAACGTAGTGTGTGTGTGTGTGTGTGGGGGGGGAGCAGCAGTCAAATCAAGTAAACAAAATATGTAGTCAGGTGGTAATAAGCGTCACAGAGAAAATAACAGAGTTAAAAGGAGCAGGAACCTCCTTCAACAGATAGTGCAGAGTGGTGGTCAAGGGCCCTGCCTTTGAGGAGCCCACAAGAGTGAGGATTATGGCCCTGCCATTTACCAGTTTGCAGCCTGGAGAAGCATGTACTTTTTAAAAATTTTTTAACAATTACTTAATTTTATTTATTATTTTAATTTGCTAAAGGCCACATGTGTTCACCAGAGAGAGACAGAAAGAGGGAAAGTGAGAAAGCAAGCTGTCAGATCTGGAACTCAAACCAGGGTCAGCCATGTGGGAGTCCAGCACCTTAACTACCGTGCTACCTGCTGATCCCAAGCATGTCCTCCCTTTGCCTCAGTTTTGTTATCCATAATAATGAGGATAGCAGTACTTATGGCAGAAGTACTGTTAGGAGAATTAAAGATCATACTTCTTACAAAGTACTTATGACTCCATGTCATGTGATGTAAGGTGGACAGAACCTGTTATTTATTTGAATAGTAGGATTTCTCATTTTAATCTGTTGATCATCTACACTTTCTTTTCGTAAGCCCTCTGGAGAGCAAGGGATGGAGGAAACTTTTTTTTGTCATTGCCTTTGATCATATAGCTCATTTTTTAAAAATGAGGAATTTGGAAAGACTATTAAAAAGTGATGTAGTGGGACCAGCAGTTAGCGTAATGGCTATGTCGCTGGACTCCCACGTAGTTGATCGTGGTTTGCGTCCTGGACCCGGTGGCTTAAAACTCACGCCGTGGGCGTGTGCGTGCGTGCCCAAGATCCCGAGAGGAGAATGGAGGAGAAGGGATTGCGGCGTGGCCATCCCCCCTGGGGGGTGATTTCTCGCTTTCTGTCTCTATGTCTCTCTGTCTGTCTGGCGAGCGCACGTTCCCTATAGTGAAAACCTCTCCAAAAAACGAGAAAAAGAAAAGCGATGTAGTTGGGATCAGCAGGTGGTGTGGTGGTTAAGGTTCTGGACACTCCCACATGACCGACCACAGTTTGAGTCCCGGACCTGGTGGCTTGCTTACTCACTTTGTCTCTCTCTCTCTTTCTCTGTCTCTCTCTTGTCAAATGAAAATAAATGAATTAATAAAATTTTAAAATAAAAGTGCGATAGCAAGAAAAGTATTTCAATAATATTGGGTCATCAGAAAAGGCATGATGCATTTTTACATAGAAAAATATAGAGAAAATTCATCATGCCTTTTCTGATGACCCAATAATTTGCTAGTGGTTTGAAAGTCCATTGCTTAGTTTTTCAGGTAAATTACACAGATTTCAGTTGGATGTGCAACATTTTGCAGTGCGGAATTATCCAATCATGGCTAAATATGAAGTACTATTCAAAATTTAGTGGGATCAGTAGTTTAGGAGATAATCTATTATATTGTTAGTATTTTGCCTAAAAACTTTGCTTGAGTTAGGGAGGGAGGTGAGGCACATTCTCAATAGGGTCCCCATCCGGAATTCTGTCCTGCCCCCTGCTTTGCCTTTTTTCCCTGTTGGAGAACTTGTCCCTTGACATTTCACAATTCTCACAGTCTCCCTTGAACTGTGTAGGTTTTAGATGGTGCTGACAGCCAGTATGGGAGCATGCAAATTGGACAGCCCCAGGATGAAGATGAAGAAGCAGCAGGTGGTCTCCCTGATGAAGCCTCCACTGCTTTCAGAAACTCTTCCATTGGTATGGTTATTTCATGTGATGCTCTGCAAAATAGTCTTATCTTCAGTCCTGGAAATTTTAATTTTATTCCTAAGAAGAAATCTTTGGACCTCTTTATTTTTTGAGTTATAAGTAGCAGATGAAAGTGACTAGTTGAGGAAAGTCCATGCATTTTCTTGATCTAAATTTATATTTTTATATTGTCGTTGTTTAAATACATACATTTGGGCCCAGCAGATGGCATTATGGTTACATTGCTGAACTCCTATGTAGTCTCTACTGTGGTTCGAGTCCTGGACCTGGTAGCTTAAAACTTACGCTGGGCACGTGTGCATGGCTGCCCAAAATCCCAAGAGGAGAATGGAGGAGAAGGGATTGCGGCGTGACCATCCCCCCTGGGGGGTGATTTCTCGCTTTCTGTCTTTCTGTCTCTCAGTCTGTCCAGCGAGTAATGTGCCCTATAGGAAAAATTCTCATATATACATATATACATACATACATACATAAAATAATATAAAATAACATATATTTGTGTCTTAATTAGAAATTTGTTACCTAATCTTGGTTTCTTTGTTTTTGAAGCTCTTCAGCAAGCACATTTATTGAAAAACATGGGTCATAGCAGGCAGCCATCTGACAGTAGTGTAGACAAGTTTGTATTAAGAGATGAAGCTGCTGAAC